ACTGAACTTCAGGATTTGTTCTAATTTTGTCTCAGAGCTGTCTTCAGATATGGGAAGGACAATCCCACTGTGTCTGCATCCCACGGCAAAGAATCAGGGGCCTCTTGTTTCTTCTTACTGGATCTGAGTGACACATGTATTATAGTGATAGAACTCTTAGTAACTGTGCTATGAAGGCACCACACCTAAGGATAAACAAATGTTCTACAGCCTACAGTTCTGCTTTACCAGGGCAGAAAGCTTCTCCCGTCTTCTGTAATGTCACTCTAGGTTTAATGCTAAGATTCTAAGATTAGCATTCTTTATGAAGAATTCAAGGAGAATACCCTGTTGTGATCACCATAAAACTCATATTCAATGCTACTAAGAAGTTATCATTCAAATGTCTGTGCCTTTAGGGGATAAAAAAATATTTAAACCCATTTAATGTTTACTTAAAAACCAAAACATAAAGAATGTTCTAAGAACAACAAAGAATATTTCTTTTTTCACCCAAAGAGAAAAAAAATAATCAAAATGTGACGAATGATTCCTTGCTGTGGCGCTTCTTTCATAGATGGACTCATAATCACTTTCCTGACCTGCTCAGACCAACGTCCCCCCATGAGCCCAACGCACAATGAGAATCCCATTCTCCAACGAAGTAGGGGGCTAATGAGAGCCTGGAGACACTGCTCCTCTCTGATGAGAGCCTGGAGACACTGCTCCTCTCTNAATGAGAGCCTGGAGACACTGCTCCTCTCTGATGAGAGCCTGGAGACACTGCTCCTCTCTTCCACACTTTCTATTCTCACAGCTCAGTGTTCCAAAAAATCCTCAAACGCCGTAAGTTTGCAGTTTCCCACAATCCAAGACGTCCGACTGGGATTTGGGTTTTATGGTGCAGCATTTGCCACTAAACTTCTCCTCTCAGTAACATGGTTGCTTAAGTTAGGCTGGTTGGGCTGGCCATTTAAAAGTTCTCTAAATGAGGTATGTATGAAGACCTTACCTTTAATGATACCAAAATTCTGAAATAGATGGACACATTTCAATTTTTTTCCCTACTAATCAAGAGTCATCAAAATACAATTCACAGGCTAAATCCATCCAGTCACTTGTCTGATTTGTCAAGGTTCCTTTGGACAGAGGCTTCATTATTCATTTCCTGTTGTTTACGACTGTTGTTAGCGGTGCAATGATGTAGTTGAATGGTTGTGAAAGATGTGGGATGATTTACAAAGCCTCAACTATTTCTATCCGGTTCTTTACCATTGTTGTTTGATGGATATCAAAGCCCCACTTGTTTCTAAACCCGGAGCTCTCATCACTTCTTCTACAAGAGGCTCAATTGTCCCTCACTAAGAAGGTGGTGTCTGTAACCTGCTAAGGTCATTCACACCCATCTCTGTATATCTATTTTTACAAAACGTCTTGTGAAATTCAAAGACATGGCAGCTGTCACCCAGAAGGCAAAACGTGCAGATGTTCATCTGTGTGAACTCAGTGGCCAAGAGCAAAGACCCAAATCGCCTGGAGGTGATGCTCAGAGTAGCCACCCACCGGTCACTAACATGCTTGCTTTGCTACCTCTTTTCTCAGTTTTAAGACTCCCACAAGCCTAGCCAATCCGCTGGCTGCTTTGTACCAGGCAGCCTTTGTTGGGTTGTTCCCAAATGGAAAGCATCTCCCAGAACATAGCGCTGCGGCAACAAAGCCTCGCTTCACATTTAGGTTCCAAATCAGTCAAGGAAAATTTCCAAGGGCTGCATCCAGAACCGAGCCTGAGTGCACTTCCTCCTTGGTATCTGTCACTTTGTAAGCAAGTTAAAATGAGACGACGCTCTTAAATCTCTGCGCAGAGAGCTCACGTGCGTCTCAGTCTTTCTCTAATAACAGACACCTGTCACTGGACTCGCCCTGATAAACGTGGAAGGGGGAGGTGTGCCCTCCCCTGGAGAAAGCCTCGCCGAAGGCACTCGTAGGAGAGAGGATTATAATCTTACAGGGAGCATGATGAAACTTTGGGATGGTAGCACAGCTTATGGCGTGAGCTTGTTTATATTCTTTCCGCTCCTCCCTATGTCTTCTTGTGGGGGCTCGGAACTTAAATTGGCCTCTGTCACCCTTCAGTCCCTGAATCTGATTTGAACACAGCCTGTACTAATAGATGTGGCCTGGGGCCTTGCACCTGTGAGGCCAGTGTTTCCCCACTGTGTCTACTTCTCTTTGGACTCGAAAACATCTGATCCGTATCTCTCCCGGGAGCCAAATGAATCCTGAAGCTACGCGAAGTTAGTGTTCCCTGCCCGCCCAGGTACTGCAAGTTCCTGTTCAGAAAATCACAACCCCAAGTAGAAGAACATCGTTGGTTTTGCTTTTGATCATTTTCAAAGATATGTTCTTATAAATTAGACAACTGTTCCAAGTTCTGATGAAAATTTAGAAAACCCTATTCTCATCTCTATACCCACTTTGTGGAGCTTTTTGTATTATTGATGGATTTTAAGCAAATAGTTTTCCTTAAAGCGTTCTGGGATTTAGAGACAGGTTTCTTGACAGTGATGAAAAATAAATATCACCATTGTGTATAATTTGGGCAGTATTTCTATCTGTACATTAATTCCATAGGCGCATGTAAAGCTTAGAACTATACTCAGTCCACACGTGCCGGCGTGGGTGGGAAACATGGCTGGGACATACATACAATGTATTGAACGTGGTGTTTAGTAGCTGAAGCCAGACATATTGAAAGGCCCGAAGGAAACAAGGAGGATGGATTATTAGAAATGGTAGGTGGCCTAACCTAACCAACCACTCGGCTGACTTCAGGCCTCACAGTAAGTTTCTTCTAACACCTGGCTTCAGCCACACGTCAGTCATCATAAGCCGTGGTCAGAACACCTGACAACATGAAGTTCCCAGAGAAACGGCGGACCTTATCCAATGTCTACTTATTACGATTTCCCGTAAAATTAACCGCTCCTTGAATAACTCTCTATTTGTATATCACCGGACAACTCCTGGAATTTAGAAAAGTGGCCCAAATCCAAATGGCTATTTTCTTCAATATTTTAGAAAGCATGTTTCTAGCATAAATTGAGAGAAGACCATATGATGAAAACAATTCTCGAGGATGAAATTAGGGAGCTTTGCTAGTTGCTGTTGTGTTAGATTAACATGTGTAGGACCTTATTCTCAAAGGAGCAAGAAGAAATTTCCTAGCAGAATGTTTTCCCAGGAAGACAGCGGCCTTCCCCTCTCGCACCCAGGAGATTCCGAGCACAAGGTCACTTAGCCCAGCCAGCCACCTGGTGATAACAAGAAAACAAGGACAAAGCTGACTTAGCAGGATGAGAGGGAGCAAAAGTCCTTGTAGCTGTGCCAAGGCAGCTTAAAAAAGCCTCTTTGTAGTTATGCCTTTAAAAGCTTACCCCACAGAGGAGATACAACTCCTCTCTCTACCTCGCTGTGATGGGGTTTTGGAGACAGGGATTCCAAACGTGTTTGTATTATGCTGATTAAACCTTGCTTATTACAGTCTGGGCCTCTCTGGTGGTCTCTTTCTGGGGGTTGTAATCTGGCATACGGTATTATCTGAATGGGTAGATTTTCAGCGGTAATATCTGAATGGCTTCAGAGTTGACTATTTGTTCTAAACAAAAGTGTGTTTTTGCTTTACCCTCAAAGCAGAGTAAACAATCCTCTGAAGCCAGACAAGATGCATCATTGGGAAAGACTGAGAAATAACTCCAATGTACAGGACATCGCAACCAGGAAACTGTGAGGGGGTTTTCGTAGCTGGTAGCTGACAGCTGACAACTTACTTCCTCATTCCCAGCGTCAAGTGAGTTTGGCCTCCACCTGAATGTGAAAGCGTGGTCTCTCTCTGGCATTGTTCATCTCTCAAATGGGTAAACCCGTGGGTGCTGGGAGGAGTGGAAACTTCCCGTGGCTTCTCCACTGCCCGGAAACCTACTAGATGTTCCCAAAAAATTTCCAAAACATAAGTCTGCCCTCTACGGCAGCATCTCTTTGAGTGATCTAAGGACGGCCTGCACCAGTCATTCTATTTTGTTCACGGACAAAGCCATGGCCCCTAGCCCGTATCTACTAAAAGCAGGATATTGGAGGGTGGATCCTGGGAATTTCTTAATAGGCAGGCTGAGTGGTTGTTATCCACACAAATATTTGAGCAGCACAACTGGGTAATTTAAGCAAATTACTCCCCAAGTGTGACAAGTTATAAATAGATTCATTTTTCTAGGAAAGCTTTGAACTCCTCTAGCCGCTCTGCAACATGATGCCCAAGTCTCAGAAAATTACAGAAAGTCCCTACAGTCTAGCAGAACTGAATGTCCTTCATTAAAGTAATTTGTGGTCTAATTTCGGTTCTCCAAAGACCAGAAAATAAAAGCCAGAATCAATCTTAACAGGCAAGTTAATTAGCTGCATTGTTATCTTTTCCAGCAGAGGGGAAAGTTGTGTATGAAGTTAAAAAGAGAGGAGTCACTGAGGATAAACAACCACCAAGGTTAATGCTGAAAAACGGGTACAGAAATCCTGCTGTCAGCTACAATATATATGAGACGAAATTCGAGCTTACTTTTAAGGTACTAGAAAAGAGAGAAAAAGTATAAGCGCCATTATAAGACAAACTCCCCAGTTTTTCTGTTCTCTGAGTGTTTCTCTCTAGGCTCTTTACTGTCAGCTGCTGGTGTACCGGAGTAATAAACACCTTTAATTAAATGAATACCCATGATGGGCCATCATATTGATGACAAAACTGCACCAGGTAAAACTCACTCCTTGCCTGATGGGAGGACAGGAAGCAGTTTCTGGTCGCAGTACTTTCAAGTCGAAATCAAACTGAGACCCAAGTTTGGGCTCTCAAAGGCCCTGGTCAGTGCTCAGATTCTGACAGGATTAGGCTAGCATGGCAGTTAGTCTCACATACATTAGGCTTCACCCTCTCCTTCCACAGGCAGAGTGAATGTGACCCTCTTATGTGGCCTACTCACACGGCTTCTACTTTGAGCTTCTGAGAAGATAGGCGTCTTCAGGTGGAGATCGGTGCGGAGAGGCCAAGGAAGGAGCCAAATGCCCAGACTCTTGCTCGGTCCCCAGTGCAGCATTTCCACTTCGATGAGAGCATCTCGGGACTCTTCCAGGGATATCGTTTACAGGATGAATCCTGCAGTGAGCTCTAGCTCAGAGTGGGAAGGAGCTGGAATGAGAAGGGAATCGTGAGTCTAGAATGTTGCTATTTCTAATTCCTATGCGTCTCTTCTTTTTACCAGCTTTCTGGAAACTCATTCTTCTGCTTTCTATACTCACGCACCTGCTCGCCGCTGGGGAAGCATCCAGCCAGATTGTCCTTCTCTAGGCTGTAACTGCAACTATTGTGTATCTGTGAGCAGTCCAGGAAACTCCACGTGGAGAACTCAGATTAACTCGGATCACCTGTTCAAGGTCACCTTCAGAGCCCGTGAGAGGCAGAGCTGCTTGCAAAGCCACTTCAGCTCAAGGCTCTAACTTTGTACACCTGTTGCCCGGATTCTTTTCCATGCCAAATTATTATCTGTTTGTAGATACTTTGGACTGTAAAATCCTGACATTCCATCAAACTGACATTTCTACAAGTGTTTTCTTCAGGAAGGAAAAACTTTCAATTTTATATTTGTACTCTGGAGTGCCTCCCCCCCCCCCTTTTTTTTTTGGTCTCCAAACTTAAGTTGAAAAGAAACAAGTCCAATACAAACACTGCCAACTCCGATCTTGGTCTACAGTAGCGACTCTCAACCTTCCTAATGCTGCGACCCTCACGTTGTGATGACCCCTAGCCATGATGATTTCATTGCTGCACCATAACTGTGGTTCTGCTTCTGTTACTGCAGGTATCTGACATATCGGATATGCAACCCAAAGGGGTCAAGACCAACAGGTGGAGACAGTGCTCTAGAAGATGACTATCTTCTGTCTCTGCCATCACTTTCATTCTGAAGCTGCTCCATGTCTGGGTTACAGTGATCCTCATCACCGTCTCCCAACCCTGACAAGCTTTCCTAGAACACAGATTCATGGACCCCACCCCTCGACAGCTGCTCTCCTCACCCAGGGCCAACCTCCCTGTACGTGTCAAAACAGTTCATTGTTTTTCTAAACTGCAATCTTGAGAATGTGTACGCAAGGGTAGAAATGGGAGCTGGGGACACCAAAGTGGTTGTTAAATTTATTTGGAGAGAAGACAAGCCAAACTGGACCTGTTTGATATTTTGTACAAAACAGGCGTGGGTCCAGGAACTCCCATAAACAAAATAATATGAAGTCAATAAAACACAGCTGATGTTGTATTTTAAAACCCTCTGTAAATAAGTCATACAAAGAGAGGTTGAATTATTTAACAAATGAAATTATTAAATTTGGGGCATGTTCTAGAATTCACTTATGGGACCCCTGTAATGGAGCCTTCATAAAAAACACAGTACAACCCACAGAGAGCTGTGAAGTTATGAACTCTGGCACAATTGTGCAGACCCTGAGTCAGAGTCTGAAGCAGGTCCCTTCTGCCTCGGGGACACAGACTCCGTCTTAACACTGATAGATTCCAAACCAATGATACAGAAAAATGAACTCACGTTGCTTAGTTTACCCACAAAAATAAGACTAGGAAGAAGACAACCAGAATGTGCTTGGTGAGAAAAGGCTTTAATATAGAACACAAAGGAATCATTTTCAGTTAAATGCTATTTTAAGAATGTGTGAGTGTCACGGGATAATTTTAAACTTCTTCATCCAGCACTTAATCGTTTAAGGGACAGCATCTGCCCTTTCCTAGAGGTGCACTGTCCCCTAGAGCAGCAGCCACAGCATCTCCTCATCGTTTCCAAACACGGGACCTATCCCTGCCTGCCATCGTGGTGTCCGTCTTTCCTCTCACTCTTACCGTGTTCATGTTTCAGTGCCCAGTCTTGGCTTCCTTCCCGTGCAGCGTCTTCCAGACTCTTTAGGACAGGACCTTTCTTCCCCTCCAACGTGTAGCATTGGTTTTCTAGAGAAATTATCTGGCAAATTGTTTTTACACTGTGTCCAGATTATCTACTTATTTGTTTTACCTTCCACTGTGTCTGTAAGAGCAAATGTTACATATTCTTCCCAACCTAACCCACTGTCATCACTTCATTCTTTGTTCGCAATGTTCTTATCAGATGTGCTTGTCACGAGGGCTGTAGAAAGACCAACCCTTGAAGAAGTCACACTATTCTGGGCAGAGCTAAGTTTGAATTCACGGACTCCATTCTCCTCTGCAAGAAACCTTTAATAATTATATTCTCTAAGATGAGGTGAAATGTGAAATTCATGTAAGTGGTATAAATTACAGTTTTGTCTCTCATAAAGAAGGAACTGTAGCTGCTTGTCACCACCGCCATCATTGTCATCATGAATTTACATAGTCCTTCAGATCAGGGGTCACAGCAGCCATTAGCTCTACATTACTTATTCATAAAGTACTTGTCGTGAGCCTGCTGCATGCCAGGCATGGCACGCTGTTAAACACTGAAGGTAAATTCTTGTCCTCTGTGTCTACAGCCTCCTGGGAACTGATCTTCCTAGAATCAAATCTTAAACAATCCGGGCGAGAAAGTTCTTTCCCCAAACTAGCAATGTTAATTAAGTCATAGTTTTCTGTTATGAAAATAATGCATTTTAACTTTTAGGTGATTCAATTTTTATTGTTTGGCTGATTTACTTATTTGCAGAGAAGTCATGAACAACTTCACATTTGTACCCGGCTACTAACCTTGCCTGAACTGTTTTGTATGTGACGTGACCTCAAGTCATTTTTGTCATTCCTCTGCGCTCGTAATCTAACGACAGAATCGGTTGTGACATCAGAGAGGAAGAATGCTGGTGTGCGGGCTCTCCTTCACATTGCCCCACGCTGGGCCCACGCACTGTCCACAGCATTTTAGTGGTGTTTGGTGGATCGGGTTACTGGCAGCACCGTGAAGTGAATTGACTTCCTTTTCTTTCATTTCCAAAACCCCTATACACCAAAGCTCATTCCAGAGCAGCCCACGTGGCTGTGAACAGCTGTTGCTGAAGTGTCTCCTGACCACCAGCTGAGTAAACATTTCAATAATACAATAAAAAGTCCAATCCGTCAAACACTGGTTAAACTTGTTCTTGGAGCCATGTCCTATAAATCTAAGGTCTCTTTTTCCATAGCACCTGTTAGCTTCTTGGGTAACCAGTCAGCTCATAGACTAATATTTTCCATATAAATCAGTGTTGTGAATAGCCTGGTATGTGACCTTCTGCGCAGCCCTGAAGAACAAGTCGTGAGAGCGAAATGAATATGGCCAGGAAGGGAAGAGCGGTCACAGAATGGGAAAAGGACAAGGGAGAGGGATCCTTCTTCTTGTCCCTTATACCTGGGGGAAGAAAAGAACATTTTCCACTTCATTTGCTTATTATTTTCCCACTCTAATCATGACAAATAGAACCTCTGCCATGTCTCGCTCCAGGGAGATTGGGTGGCTGTGGATTTGCCTGGGTGCCACTTTGGTTCTGGGACGTCGACAAATTCGGAGTCTTATATAAGGAAGTTATGGGAGAGAGGGGCAGGAATTTTATTGACACAGCTGGGGGAAGTTTTCTGGAAGAGGAGAGTTATTTGATAGCTTTCATAGGAGTGGAATCTCGGAGCAAGAGAGAGATTCTCGGGGAGCTTTGCTAAATGTTGTGGGACTGAACTCTAGTCTCTCAGTTCTTCCCAGGGAGCTCTTCAGAGCCCTCACTGTGTGAAGGGAAAATGAGGCCGCTGCTGGCTGGAAAAGAGCCACAGGAGAACTATGTTGCTTAAAGGGGAATTAGGACAGTCTTCCAGCTAAGATCTACTTCATTTTTCTTTGGCATAAAGGACACCTAAGATGCTAACAGAAAATTCTTGGAGTACCTATTTATCTCAAACCAATTTCCTAAACGCATGGCTCAGGTAAGTCACCTAAATGTAAGAATACATTACTGAGCAAACGGTTCACTAGTTACAACATTAAATGTAACATCAATCTGTGTCATTTTCCGTATTTGTGCCTCTTTATTTTCTGAAATCAAAGTATCTAGTGGTCGTTGTACATAAAGTAAAATTCACGGCAGAACTCCAAGTTTTAAAAGTTCTTTCTTATATGCAATATTGCAAGGCATCCAGTTCTTGGGTTCAGGAAACATTTTAAAGTCTCTTTTGGTTTCTCTTTACAAGCTCTGTATTTGAAAATCACTCCCCAGCCCGTCTTGGCAACCTGCTCTGAGCTCTGTGAAAACATAAGTGTGCGTCGCTGGGAATCTTGTCACGATGACATCACAGAGTCCTGTGCACTGATGTGCCCCAACACACTAAATAAAGTTTTAAAGTTTGAAAACCAAGACATTGGACTTTCTCTTATTTCCTCTGAGGCTGCATGAATATCTGAGACTCCATCATAGTCACGTTTAAAATGACTTTGGCCTCCTACTTATCTGAGAAGAATTAATATCTAATCCTGACTAGTAATAAAAAGAAGGAACCTAAAATGAAAGTGGAGAATCCTAAAAGCCAGGAAGAGAAGCTAATTACGCGTCTGTTCTTTTCCTATCTTCCATGGCTTCTGAATGAGGAGGCAGCCTTCTCTCCTGGGTTTGTCTCTCTGTGAACCCCCTGCTTGGGGCTGAGGTCAGTCCCTCCTCCAGACTGTGGGTTAAGAAAACCTCCTTGGTTCCCACTTCCTGTGTTTTGGTTTCGCAACATCCTGATCAGGGCAAAAAAAAAAAAAAAAAAACAAAACAAAACTGTATGTTGCTAAATAATAATAATAAAAGGTTCAACAAGCCTTTCACTACTGCTTAAAAAAGGCTACCCCTGCCCACAGACTCCCCAGTGCTTTCGGCACCACACCTACAGAACCTCCCCGAACAGGTGCGAACCCCTTTCCTTCTTCCTCTGCACTTTCTGTTCAGAGCCGTCTTCAGGACCTTTCATTTCCTTGTCTCCATCAGTATATTTATATATTTCATATTTATATGCATAATCTCTTCCTCTTACAACCTTCAATCAGTTTTTAAAATTCCACTCCAAAACTAAAAATTTCTCTTAAAATGTATTTCTGTTTCTACAAGCGGCTTATCCTGAATACCCTAGTGAATTTCAGCGCACGCAGGGCCCGCCCTCTTTTATGCTTTTGACTCCCAGGAAATGTTTCGTTCACTCACAATTTGTACATTCATCTATTCATTAAAATCTTTATTATGTAGCCTAAATTAGAAACAAACATGAATGCCAAAATGATCCAAATTATGGGCTTGGGTTTGGACCCTAGAGCTCTTCCCTTTGCCAAATGTGTGACTAGTAAATTACTAACCCTCCCACCCCTCAGTCTTCTCATGAGCCACATAGACAAGAAAATACTAACCCCCTAATTCATTATGAAGATTAAAAAAATAATCTATGCAGAGTACTGTAGGCTATTTGTAATGATCTAGAGACAGTGTCACACTGGTCAGCATGAGATGGACATATTTTTATTCTAATTTCTGTGCTTATACTTCAAGTTCATTCTTCGGAGTGAGGGCA